GCTATCATGACATGTAAGTGAGCAGGTTTGAAAATGAACATGATATAGAACATTACCATCGACACTAAGCTACCCACGCATGGGTCAACCTCCTCCTAATGCCTCAGAAGTGGACGACTTGACATAGGCGTCTATCTCATCCAACATGATGAAGAGTCTCCGATTAAAAGCTTTAGTTGTGCTGTAATAAAGGAATATAGGACACCTGCCTTGTGCCCCGGAGAAATGAGCTCGTAAAGGACACATCCAAAAGACCACCAGTCTACTGCGCATCTGTATTTGTCACCCTCGTTAAACATTACTTCAGGTTCCATATACATGGGGGATCCCACATAGACCAATGTATACCCTTCCCCTGGTTCCAAAGGCGTCCCGTGCAGATGGGAGACCCCGAAATCTGCGATTTTGACGTTGTAGTGGGAATCTATCAGAATGTTGTCTGGCTTTATGTCTTGGTGTATGATGCCCATGCTGTGAAGAGCATTGATACCAAGGGCCTTCAAAAAACAGTTGCGTCAGGGATTGCATACTATGTATTCAGCGATGCCCACTCACCATCTGAGCACTCAATCTAGGAGCATTCTCGAAACTGAATTCAGGCTCATCAGCCATAAGCTTCCAGAGGTCAAAAACCATCAAGTCCTAATGTATGCGCAAAGTCAAGTTGCTCAAACTGTTGGGGCAGGGGGAGCACATACCATGACAAAATAGATGTTATCATGTGTTGAAAAACACATCTTCAATTGCATGAGGAATGCCTTTCCATTGCACTCCTTCTCCCAGGAGGCCATGTGCTGGTAGACTTTGAGCTCCGTTGCAATGACATCTTCTGATTCCTCCTCCACCATCTTGCGCCTGTCGATATCCTTCATACACAGCAGGCATCCAGATCCATGGTCTTGAGCTCCCCAAGCTAACACATAAGACCCATTACCCAAGAAAATGCCTAGGGAACGAAAGGGACCTGTAATGCGTTCTTGGTACCCAGGAAGGTGGACATAAGATTGATCAAGGTGATGGTCAGCGAGTGGCATGGTGTATAGCTGTAAATGGTGAAGGGTTAGGTGATATTGAGTTGAAGGATTAAGTTCGCTTGATGGTCAACTCGAATAGAAAACGATAGGCTTTTCTCAATTGTGGGTGCGAATTATCGAGACAAGTCCACATTGTGCTACAGTGGACGCAGCCAGCTGCAAATAATGGATGTTGCTTACACACTCCCACTGCCAAGCAATATGATGGCCAAACCAGAGTGAAGGACAGTGAACACTCAATGTTGTACATTTTAAGAACAAGATTCATCCACACGATGTTGCGTCTTAGTTCATCATCCATTCACTGTACGTCTTCTGTCTCGTCATGCATTGAAACTCAAAAGATCACATGACCATCCAGCAGGAGATGGATGACTGAATGGTGATGTTGAAATCGGTCTGGCAGGTGATACCTCCTGCAAAGGCAGTGGCCAAGGATGAGTGCGCAACCTGGGATGACAGCATCTCCAAGGAGGCTGTCCCTCCACACTAGAATTAACCCTTAGGGTGACTGACCACCATACACATGCAGGAGAGGCAGGCAGGCCTGTTAATGTATGCTACAACAAATGATTGCATCCCACTGCGTACATGCACAACTTCGGCGAATTCAAAATTATGCTACTGAATGATTCCGGATGATGGTCCTAACATCTACAGTACATACCCATAGCCGGGAGCACATGGTACTATACTCCAACATGGACAAGAATTATGCTAGGGCCATACACAACATATAGTCCATCATACATTGATGTATTACAACACAAAATCACTTATAACTATAGGAAGTGATACATCACTCTGCCAGGTACAGGTGCCTAAAAAGTACGGCTGAAGAACTCTTCATCTGAGTATGGATTGTCGTCATCAGAGTGGACATCATTGCCATTGTAATAGAGTATGATGACACCCTGAGGTGTATCATACCTTTTACTGTTGCATTGCAGATCTTGAAGCCTGCCCTGTTCCTTCATATTATTGGTGATATTGACATGAGTGTTGCCACCATCCTTCATCACAAAGGTTCTCTTCTTCATCATTTTCCCACCGGCAAGAGGTATCTCCCCTGCCCTCCAAAAGCTATCTTTTGGAGGGGGACCTTGCACAACTGTTATACACAAAATGTCAGGAATAATATTTACAGACCAAGCGATATCACTTACCAAGCCTAGTGGAGACCTTCTCCAAACTCTTCTTAATGTCACAGGTGTTCAGGCCCCATGGGTCGTCACTCAAGCTTGAGGTGTCGGTGGAATCCATGGCCTTTCTAATGTCACGAGGGTTCAGACCCCATTGGTCTTCACTCAACCTCAACCAGGCATTATTGTCAGCGTCTTCAACCTTATTAACTTTGGCGGCCTTGGCTGCCTCTGTGGCCTGTTGGTAGTAGGTCAGTTGTTTACCTGTAAATGGAAGATGGCGGGCGTTACTTACATGGTATTTTCTATGTCTAACGCAGTGGTGGAATGGATCTTGGTCAGTCCTGCCCCTCTTGAGACTTAATGGGAACATTGTAACTGGAGAATGTGAAATGACCTGAAGGAGTTCAAGGTAGAAGGAAGCTTCAAAGTGTTGAGGCAGGTAAGACAAGTCCGGCGCATTATTTATTCTGTCCCATTGTGGCTACTTCCCAGGATCATTCTTCTGTGGATCTACTAGCATGTGGATAATGTTGTTCTGTAGTAGATATCTTGAGGAACTGATCCAGAAAAGGTATATTGTTCTATCGTCATTGTGTGGGTAGCCGTTTATCTTTCTTGAGGCCATGGCACCTATCAGGGAAGCGCTGGTCCATCCAAACTGTTCATTGTGGACAGTGAACCAATAGCAGTTTGTTTCCTTTGCAACCAGCATGTGTATTTCTTAAGGTGCTAAGTTTGATCTAATCGTGCACCTAGCAGGTCCCTTGCAGCACAACACTTACATCCTACTAGCCCTCCAAACATTCAATCCAAGCTGTGTGCCCCAGCCGATATCCAAGTCTATCTCAGATTCAATGTTGAAGTCAGCATTTGCCACGATGGCTGCCACAGAACTTGTGTACACACAATCCAACCAAGTACTGGACTCATCATGATCAATGTTGTCGCCTCCTTCAATGTGTTCGGTTAATAGCAAGCTGTTCTGCGCATTGTGGTGTCGCATACCCTCCTTTGCATCACATCCAAATAGTTCAGTGTCTTTCGAACATGAGCAGAAACTCATCACGCATACAGCTAATGATTTGGCTAGATTACTGATTGTTGAGCCCAACGTCAAAGGCTTTGGCCATGCATTTCAATATTAGCAGTGGCTATACATGACATTGTAGTATTGCGCGACTTAGTGAAGTGGACATTGGAGCGTCATACGCTTAGTGCACTTGATGAAGTATCTGCAATGCATGTGAATACAAGACCGGGTTTGACAAGAACAACACACAACAAGAGCAATGAAACGGCAGGGTGCATTCCATAGTACCAATAATGCTCTCGGCATCTGTGCACATATGTCATAATGAGGGGGAATAGTCGGTGCTTCAATGCTGGGATAGGTACTCCTCATGCTAGATTTGAAACACTCTTAATTAAATGTACATTTGTGATATTGGACAAAGCACTCTACCAGTTTATGGAATGCATGAGGACCTCATCCACCTCATCCAATGAGTAGCGATACAAATAGATATCCTCAACTTCTGCATGTATGTGCCATAATGAGGCAAATAGTCGGTGCATCAATTTTGGGTTAGGCATTCATGATCTGATGTTTCAAATACTCTTAAATACCATTTGTGACATGCACCGACGCGATCTACCAGTCTAGGGAGTGATCGAGGATCTCATCCACATGCTCCAATGAGGAGCAGCACAGTTTAATTACAGACCACACACACGAGTCCCTCCTTTCAGCCCGGTCCATTTCAGTCTGGCTGTTCGAAGGCTGGACCAATGAATTCGAGGATGGAAATGATTGACAGCATGATCTTGTGTGTCATGAGTTGGATTTTCATCATCCTCTTTCTGACATAGGCATTCTTGAGCCTGGAATCGGTGTCGTCCCAAAGTGCGCACTCCTTCATCACCACCTCTGCCTCCATCCTCAGTGCCTGGGCCATGTGTACCAATCCCCAGATATCCCTAGTCATGGACACATTGTCACGCATTGAGGTTTCAACCAAGGTCCTATTGCCGCTCTCCCTCTGCCCCACTGCCACATGCTCTCCTCCAGCATCATTGTCGTTCACAGGCTGCCCGTTGACACACCCACCGGGAATGGCCAAGGTGCCAAATGCTTCAGAAAGGATCTCATGAAGGCCGTTTGATAATACCTCCATGTGCCATCTAACATGCATGTTGACCATCCGCATGTTGTCATCACCCTTATCCTCTGGGTCATATCAATCTGCAGATGCATTGTACTTTCCCTTGATCATGTCCTCGAGGGCTGACTGAAAGGGGGGTGCTACACTGGCTGTGAAGATAGTGTAAGTTACATAGCAGGTAGGCATTCAGATATGCACCGAAAGTCATACACTTTCCCTTGGGCCATCCACCAGTACTGGGCATGACATGTATTAGTTGATAGGTATTGATTTAGAATGAGGCGAAATCAAGTCAAGTGAACTGTGAAGAATGATCCCTTGGTGTGTGATGGGCCAGAGTTAAATAAACTGTGGATTGTGGATTGTGGACTGTGGATTAAATGTTAGACTAACTCAGATGCGGGTGCTGTGGAAGAGTGATCCGGTGGAGTAGCATCTATGAGTCTGCTGCAACCCAACATTGCATAATAAAGTGCGTCCTACATCAGACGTTAGGAGCATCAACAGCCACTGTCCACAGTCCACACATCCACAGTTAGCATGTCTATTTAATCCCGTTTTCTCGCTACTCTTCACTATCTACAACACCCATCTCAACAGCATCCATGATTCGTCATAGCAACCGACACACTTAAATATCTCTACGATCATCATTTGCTATGTCGCAGTGCACAAGAAAACAGCCGGCAGAGGACAGCCCTGGCTCTCCTTGCAATAGCAAGTGCACCAGGGGACCTGTAGAGGAGGATTTTACAGGACCATTCATGGTATGTTGCGCTCACAAATCTCTGTACATCAGTTGAAATGATATGCAGGATGCAGAAGACTATTACATTTGCGAGCTGCATGACAGAAGCCCTGCATCAGGCATCGCCGTGCTAGAGCAAGGGCTGCAGATGACAATTGAGATGTTGTAGGCATGAATCCAAGAATTACACGACAATATGTGTCGCGCTGAGGCTGATTGTAATTGGGAGATGCAAACGCACGAGCTGCAGATTGAACAGCACACTGACTGTATTGCAGACCTGGAATCCAAAGTGCGGTCCCAGCAAGATCTGCTGCACCGGCAGTCCATGGACCTGGAACATCTTGAGGCAAAAATGGTGAGCCAGGAAAAGTGAATTCATGAGCTCATACACATGGAACTGATCAAGGATATGTTGAATGGGCAGTGCCCAAAGATGATGAGGGATGCAATCAAGATTCTGGAGACATGACATTTGCCATCTATCCCCTTCGAATAAATCACATACTCAAACACACCACACACAGATACCAATTCCACCTATCTTGCTATTGATTGACCAGGGAGACGCCCCTGACTGTACTTAGCTGCGTTTACTGTCATTGGAGCAGCACCAATCAGCGGTGCTTGTGCTAGTTACATTTGCCACATATAATTACTACTTTGGGAGTACCAGTACAATGACGGCCAACAATGAACAAAACCTTCTTCAACGGTCACAGATGGTGTACCTGAGGTATCGGCATTCAGGAGTTCGGTGAGGGAAGAGAGTTGTGCCCATGCATCATATCAAGAGCATTTCCAAATGGTATTGGACTTCATGCTATTGAGGAGTGCTATCATCTATGGTATTCCATTCAGATATTGACGACGCGCTACATGGCAGTTCATGTAATTGAGGGCGTGCTCGATAGTGAAAGGCCTCATAAGTTCATTACAACAAAAGTGTACAATTTATGTCTCATTGTTCTACTTGCTTTTTATCTGTCTTATTAGCTTTCATCCATGAACCAATTCCCTGCGGAGAGGTCTGCACTTGTGCCTGGCGACTTCCACATACACCACAATGAATGTTCGGCCAGCCTCCCTTTGCAGCCCATATAAAGCGGCTGGCCAACATGCTGCTGACATCTGGCTCTGTAGGCTAGCGACCTGACAACACAAATTTAATCAACGGTAACAACTCCTGAATTGCTGTGCCTATTTTGTCATATATCGGATTGTCTGGGACATGAACTTATCAAGTCAATTTAGAAAGACATTTCAAACTCCCAGAGATATGGGACAGAGACAAGGGAGACGAACAGAAGGGGACATAGGTATTGAGGGATGATTACATGTCAAGGGAGCATGGAATGGACCTGTTGGTTCCGCTCAACTCACATGATACTTCGACATACATTGGTAATGTAATGCTCACTTGCAGGTGGTCACCATGTTATTCTCCATGTACCTATATGTATAAGTCCAAACCTATGGATCTGATGTGCAAGGCCTGCACTTCCGCAAATTGCCTCGAAGGTATTGACTGCCTACTCCACTAAGGAGGGTGGCAAGGTTCGTGATATGCATCGCTATTGCTCATGTTAGGGTCATGCAAGCGAGCATTACATTACCAATGTATGTCGAAGTATCATGTGAGTTGAGCGGAACCAACAGGTCCATTCCATGCTCCCTTGACATGTAATCATCCCTCAATACCTATGTCCCCTTCTGTTCGTCTCCCTTGTCTCTGTCCCATATCTCTGGGAGTTTGAAATGTCTTTCTAAATTGACTTGATAAGTTCATGTCCCAGACAATCCGATATATGACAAAATAGGCACAGCAATTCAGGAGTTGTTACCGTTGATTAAATTTGTGTTGTCAGGTCGCTAGCCTACAGAGCCAGATGTCAGCAGCATGTTGGCCAGCCGCTTTATATGGGCTGCAAAGGGAGGCTGGCCGAACATTCATTGTGGTGTATGTGGAAGTCGCCAGGCACAAGTGCAGACCTCTCCGCAGGGAATTGGTTCATGGATGAAAGCTAATAAGACAGATAAAAAGCAAGTAGAACAATGAGACATAAATTGTACACTTTTGTTGTAATGAACTTATGAGGCCTTTCACTATCGAGCACGCCCTCAATTACATGAACTGCCATGTAGCGCGTCGTCAATATCTGAATGGAATACCATAGATGATAGCACTCCTCAATAGCATGAAGTCCAATACCATTTGGAAATGCTCTTGATATGATGCATGGGCACAACTCTCTTCCCTCACCGAACTCCTGAATGCCGATACCTCAGGTACACCATCTGTGAC